GCGCTCCGCCGGCCGCGGGGGCATGAGGCGGCGGGCGGCGGGCGGCGGCGCCGGCCCTTCCCCTGCGAGCCGCCGCCGGAGGATGAAGCAGCATGAGGATGTGTGACAGAGGCGTCCAGATGCTCGTCACCACGGTGGGAGCCTTCGCAGCCTTCAGCCTGATGACCATCGCCGTGGGCACTGACTACTGGCTCTACTCGCGCGGCGTGTGTAGGACTAAGTCCACGAGCGACAACGACACGAGCCGCAAGAACGAGGAGGTGATGACCCACTCGGGGCTTTGGAGGACGTGCTGCCTGGAAGGTACCGACCCCCTCGGCCCCAAAACTTCGGGGGAGGGGGTGCGTCGCGGGGCCCCCCACCCCAGAGCCGGATCCCCGGCGAGCGGAGCATCCCCCGGCCGCCCGAGCATCCCCCCGCCCGGCGGCCCCGCCGCCCCCCGCTGCCGCCCTCCGCTCCCTTTGCCGGGCACTCGCAGTCGCTCCGCGGTGGAAGCTCCGGGGGGCTCCTCCACGCGGGTGGCGGGGGCCGGGGGGGAGCGGGGCTGCGGGGTCGCCCCCGTGCCGGGGACCGGCACTGGCACTGGCGGCAGCCGCGCTGTGTCTGCCCGGGGATGCTCTCGGGGAGCTTCGGGCTGAGGGGCCACAGGTCCCTCTCCCGACCAGGGCTGTGGGAGTGGGAGCGAGCAAAGCCCCGCCGCCGCTGTCTTTCTCCGAGGCTGCACGGGCACCGCGTCCCTGTCACCGGAAAACACACCGCACCAGGCGGTGTCATCGCTGAGCCCCAGCACCAGAACCAGCCCTTCCCCTCCGAGCGGCAGAGTGGGGCAAGCTGGGCTGCTGCTGCCCGCTGCATCTCGTCCCTCCGTCCCGCGGCCGGGCTGCCCCACGGCCAGGCTGCCCCACCACAGCTGCCTCAAGGCTGGGCTGCCCCACCACGGCTGCGCCACGGACGTTCTCTTGCCTGCCCGGCCTCACTGCTTTGCCCCATTGCCTCCCTCCCACAGCAGTGCTCGGCTGGCAAGGCCCTGGCAGCTGCTGCCCTCCTGCAGCACAGGCCACACTTTGGGGCAGTTTTGCCCCAAAGCTGCTGGTTGAGGTGTTTCTGAGCACCCACGGGCTGTGCTCAAAGACGAGCTTGAACAGAGCCAGGTGCTGGTACCTGCGCAGCAAAAAAATGGCTGATGGCATCACTCTGGGCCCTAACTTTTAAAATTAGTGGCAGCAGTGGGTGTCCTGTGTGCCTGAGGGGACCTGCCCCACTGTCCTGTGGGGCTCAAGGGGCATCAGGCTCCTCCAGCCCAGGAATGACCCCTCCAACAGTGGGGGCAGACGAGCCACGGCGCCAAACTGCTCCTCCACGTTGGAAAGTTCTCGGTGAGTCATGGCCATGGATGCAGAAATACCCAGTCTCTTCCCGGTGCTTGGTCCTAAACCCAGTGAAGTCAGTTGGAGCTTTCTTATTGATTCAAGGAGGGTTTGGATCATGCTCTAATTCTGTAATAAATAATTTGAGATAATCTGTCTCCCCTCTTGGGCTGAGGGAGCCAAGGAGGCAGGAGCCAGGGCTGTGAAAGATGGAATTGCTGGAGGCATGAGTAATTTCCAAAATTCTTGGGTTTGCTAGCTGTATTTTTTTTTTCCCAGCCAATGTTTTATGTTTCCCTCACTGTGATCAATCACTGCTTTGGAAGGAGCCAGAGAGGCCCCGCTCCCCTGGGCACAGCTCACTCGGAAAGGGCTTGGCAGCGCCATGGCAGAGCTTGGGGCTGGATCACAGCCCGTCACCCTGAGCCCAGGTGTGGGGCTGAGAGCAGCAGGGCATGGGCTCACCATGGGCTCAGTTCTCCCCCATCCTACCCCGTGTTGGTGCTCTGGCAGCTGCTGTGGCGGCAGCGGGAGCGGGAGCCCTGCGGTGCCATCCCCGCGGTGCCATCCCCGCGGTGCCATCCCCGCGGTGCCATCCCTGGGTGCCATCCCTGCGGTGCCATCCCCGTGGTGCCATCCCCATGGTGCCATCTCTGAGGCACAGCCAAGGCCTTGTGCCGGACACGGGCTCCGTCAGCCCTGGGTGTGGGTGTGGGTGGCAGTGGGGCTGCGGGGGCTGCAGCACACGGTCGGTGGCAGGGCAGGGAGGGTCCCAGCCTGCGCTCTGGGGGAACACACGGGGCTCTGATGGTGCTGGGGGGATGTGATGGGGCTGTGATGGTGCTGGGGGGA